CCCCCCCCCCCCGAAAAAAAAAAAGAAAGTTCGGCACCTGGGCCGAACGTGTGAGGAGGAGTCCCTGTACGTTCGTTCGTTCGGGTTCGGGCGTTCGGTTCGTCCCGAACATTGGCTACCCTATATATGTAGATATATATCATAAAACAAAGTTGTCCGGTAAATCGTAGGCAAAGAGGGAGAAGAGGACAACAAACGAGGGGCTGTGACAAACTGTTTTGTCGGAGTTTCACCGACTCATTAGGAGGCTGAACCCTCAACAGTCTGCGAAATCCCCTAACTGATTACACTGTAAGTGATAATCCACCTTAACCTTGGTGGGCACCAACCACTGCCCTCAAAGTACTTGTTACGAAAATCAAAGCAGACTATCACTCACCCACACCATATATAAACATTTGAACATGTTATTTCAATTATACGTGTATGTATATGCATGAAATATACCTTTACAATCTCCCATGTGCATGTTTATCACCACAGGGCCTAGCAAAACCTTGGGGTAGGTGGTTAAACTGCCAATACTTTTGGAAGTTGTGGCGCATATATTGCGAGCCATTGCTACAGTGCTGTAACGTTTCCATTTGAATGAATTTATACCAGTACCCGAGGCCTGGTCGTCCCAGCACGCCATGCGGTGCATGCAGCCGTGGCTTGCGGAAGTACTGGAGATAGTGGCAGTCGCGCCATTTTAGGCCCCTTCCCTCCGGTCTTTGTTCGTACGACATACTTGGTGAGGAGCACACACTTTGTACGCCAGCGCCATTTTAGGCCCCCTTGCTCCAGTCTTTGTTCGTACGATGTACTAGGTGAAAAGCACGCACTTGTACGCCAGCTAGAAAGCCACCCAGCTAGGCCAGCACTTGTACGCCAGCTAGAAAGCAACCCAGCTAGGCCAGCTAGGCGCAGGGGCACGTTCTTCCAGTGACCCCTAGCATTGCTGTTTGGAAAAAGAGGGGAAAAGGAGAGTGTTGAACTCACTGACCTCACATGGGTTGGGGTATTTGTGCTCGTCTGATTCAGTATTGGCAGTCAAATGTTCATTTTACTAACAGTCGCATGGGTGTGGCATTGAGCCAGATGGGCGAGGTCCGCCTGAAATTTCACACATTGCCCTGTGTATTCCAGCCACGATCCTTTTTCGGATGGGTCAGTTGCGCGACTTACCACACCATTTTTCGGGTTTGGCGGTCGGACATGTCCGCTGTGATCGGAGGTTCTGTACACCCGGACCATCAGTGGCCGTATGTGGCTCTGATGTGAGTTGTTGTGCAGGGTCCCACAAAACAAAGCGAGTAGTACGTCGCCATCTCCGTCATCCCAGGCAAGTTGCCGCTCGAGTCATCCCTCTGGTAAGTTCCTTCTTCCCCGCCCGCCCGCCCGCCCGCCCGCCTTTTGGGTTGTGTTTCGCCTCCTCTCCTCCTCGGCGCTCCTGTCCTTGCACGATCTTCTAGGCGCGCCCTTCGTATTTTACTCTTCGTCCTCCCTGTTCTCGTTTTGCTTCTGCCTCCTCCTCCTCCTCCTCCTCCTCCTGCTGCTCCGTACACCGCCATCTCCGTCGTCGCAGGCAAGTGGTTGCTGGAGCCATCTCTGTAGTAAGCGCCTCCTTCCCCGCCCTCTTACCTTTTGTCGTGTTTCTCCTCTCGTCCTTCTGTCGCTCTTGTCCGCTCATGGTCCTCTCGACGCGCGCTTCCTATACATTACACTCCTCGTCCTCCCTTTTCTCCTCTACTTCCGCCTCCTTCTGCTGAATCCTCCTCCTTCTTTCCCTCTTCCTCCTCCTCCTCCTTCCCTCCTTTGGTCCTCATTCCTCGACCTGTCTATGGCTGCCACTTTTTTTTCGACGATCTCGTTCGTTGTCCACTTAAATCCTTTCTTTTCTAATTTCATCATCCTTTTCGAAAAGGAACGCGCGGGAGYTCGGTGACGACGAAGAAGAGAGAGACGGCGAGAGAGCGYTCASCACCGGAGCTTGGTGAAGAAGAAGAAGAGAGATTGACGGAGGGGAGACTTTCCTCGTTGTAAACGATCATGAAATTGGGATAACAAGAATCGCGGGGCCAATGAGGAGCTGGATGGACTGCGGGAGGGGAGCAAGTTTGGATGAAAGGTCTCGGAGAGCTTGAAAGAAGGATGGAGAAGGAAATAGAAGGCAGGGAGGGAGGAGGGGGGCAAAACGTGGAGAATGATCCAGAACCATTTTCGATTACAGTTTGTTGGGAAAAATTAGAAAAGAAAGAGGATTGAAAGAAAGAGAGAGAAGATCAACGTGCGTCTTCCCTACCGTCCCCCCTGTGCGTGCTGGTCGCACGTGCACGGACGGAGTACGAGGTAGTGGCCGTAGATTACGAAGATCGACGGCTGAAATCTCTTAATCCGTGCAAGTGGGACCTTGGCCTTGGCCCGGGGGATGACTGTGCCTGGTTCGAATTTGGCGGGTGCAGCGCGCGCTGTCGGTTAGTTCCCGCCAGCCGCCGTCGAACAGAACCGTTGGCTCCCGCCACTCCCGGTGCTTAGTTCGCGCCAGCCGCCGTCTAAAAAGTTGGTTCCCGCCAGTCCCGCTACTTACATTTGTTCCCGCCAGTTTCAGTCTCGCTACGTACATCTGTTCCCGCCTGTTCCCGTCCCGCTACTTACATTTGTTCCCGCCAGTTCCGACGATACTTATGGCTCCCGCCACCCACCCACCGTCCGGCAGGTAGTTCCCGCCATACGGAAAGTGGTCCTGCTCTTTCTCATCGACTGCGTGCTCGTCTGCAGGGTCCTCGTCCTGCCCGTCAGCCTCCCGGACGAACCTGTTCTCTTCTTTCTCTGCATCGTTCATTATGTTCCCTCCGTCGTCGTCTCCTTCTCCTCCTCCTCCTGCTCCTGTCCCCTGCCCTGCTCGTCAGCCTTGTCCACCTCACCTCCTGCCAATGGGATCCCTATCCTTTGTCTGGCTTATTGTTTTCCGTCGCGGCTTGCAGACAACCATTCTCTGCTGATGGGACTCCTATCATATCTCTTCCTACTCTCCCCTCCCTGCCATCCCATTGTACCCCTACCAATCAAGGCATCGACCTGTACTGATTATGATGTTAATCATCATTATATGTTAATCATCATTACCACAACCATTCCACAAACGTCAACGGCATAGACCTGTTCTCGTTCTCCTCCTCCTCCTCCTCATCATCATCATCATCATCGACAGGATTGCTGTCGTCATCATCATCTTCATCATCATCATCCTCATCACCATGATGATGACGATGATGATGATGCTGACGACAACAATGATGATGGTGGTGCGGATCATGATTGGAGTCAGATTGCTCTGCATCGAAAATTGGTTAACTCCTATCGCGCAAAAGAAAAATGTGCAAAAGAAAAAAAGTTCTACCGTGTGTAATGACGAAGCTAGCACCGAGTCGGCTAAATGTCATAATTAAAAATCATAATTAAAAATCATAATTAAAAATCATAATTAAAAATCATGCATTTGTGCCTTTAGAGTGGCACCATCGAAAGCAAGTCATTATAAAAAAGATACTGTTAAAAGAAATTGGTATTGAAAGATAATGGCTAAATGTCATAATTAAGAATCATAATCAATAATCGCGATAAGCAAATCAAGGAAATCGTGATACAGATCATTCAGTAATGTTATTTACTATATGCTAATTAACTAATCAGATTATGAAATTTTAATTATTCAGTCAATGATTAATTAATTAATTGATTAATTAATTAATTGATTAATTAATTACAGTGTGCTAACGTTCTCACTCGTTCTCTATTTCCTTTTTTTTTCGGTTTTTTCCTCCCTTTTTTTTTGTCTGATGTTTGCCGTCGGATCTTCTCTCGCCATTGAGAGTCCTCTTCCCATTAATTAAAATAATAATGAAAAAAGTAATTATCCGGTATTTGTCCGATGTTCCCTTTTCTTCTCTCCTTCTCCATGTGTGGTGCAGTTTCCACTTTCGTTTTTCCTTTTGTGGCTGTGTTTTGTCATATTTTCCGTTTTTTTTTTTTTATTTAATCACGTGGCCCGATTTACCACGTGGCCCGATTTACCACGTGGCCCGATTTACCACGGATTAGATATCAAAATGATCAGAACAGAAAGTACTGTTGATCTTAGCCAGACGGCCGAGAAAGGTCGTTTTCCTATTTTGTTCAACGAGCAGGGCACATCATTTCTATTTCCGGCCATTTGTCCAATTTGCCAGGCTTCCTCGGGTGAAAAATGTTCTGCAGTTATTTCCCAAAATTGGCCCCCTTTTTTTTCTTTTTTTTTCTTTCAGAATTCTGCGAATGCTTGATGCAACAACCACGCGCGCGTTCTCTTCTTCGGTCATGAAATAACGACTGTCTGACTCTCTCTCTCTCTCTCTCTCTCTCTCTCTCTCTCTCTCTCTCTCTCAAAGGCGCTCTTAATGTGTATCTCTGTTCTCCTATATTTGTATATAGATAGATCATGTTTGCATATAGATATATGCATATATATTTTGACGATCTGTTTGACGATATTTATATATTGTACGTAAGAGGTGATGAACAGGCGGAGCTTTCCTTCGTTCTTTCCTTTTTCTGTTTTGTTTTATTTCGCCTTTGCGCTCCGATACACGGTGTGACGATATATATTTATATATACAGTGTGATAATATATATACTCAGCGCTTGCATAGCCGTTCGTTTTCGGTCTATCTCCGCTATCTCCTCGTCTTATATATACACGGTGACGATATATATATATATATCGCGTATATATATATATATATCTTGTGACAATATATCGTCAAATAGAATATATAAATATTTATTTATCGTTCTTTCAGAGCCTCTCTGAGGAGTGTGCACTTTCTTTTGTTTACAGTGTACAGTTTATTTGCTGAACGAAGTGCGGGAGATCGAATCTGGTCGAAAAGATGTATTGTACGATCCGTGCAATCGCGATGCATCGCCGCGCATCGTCGACCATCCTCGCTTATCGTCGGGCATCGGCGCGCATCGTCGGGCATCGGCACGCATCGTCGGGCATCGGCGCGCATGTCTCTGCTATAGTGGGGGCGCTTCGCGCATCGCCGAGGTCGTGCCGTCGCTAGGTCATTGGATCGACCCTGGGTGAGGGAAACAACTCCTCTCTCTCTCCCATCTTCTCTCTCTCTCTCTCATCATCTCTGGAGCCTCGGTCATTCGATCGTGCGTGTGTAAATCGGACGTTCTGTGTACATTTAGCTCAGCTTGGCCCATCTCTCTCTGAGGTGGCAGAGAGCGAGTGGTCGGGAGTGTGGAGAGAGAAACGTACGATCAAAGAGATACCGAGAGAGAATTCGTCGACACAGAGAGTTGGGAGAGAGAGAGAGAGAGAGTTGGGAGAGAGAGAGAGAGAGAGAGAGAGAGAGAGACGGGTGAAAAAAAAGAAGAAAAGATTACATGGCTGAAGATAATAGACCGTTGACGAGTTTTCGCCAGCAGCGTGGACCCCGCACGCGTGGGCTTACCAGTCTTACCCCGAACACAACGCACCCCGATCATGAAATTGTGAAAGTATACAAGCTATCTTTCCGGCTCGATACAGTCGTAATCACGGTCCATTGTGTTTAGGGGAAGACAGTAGGAATGGTCTTCTGAAAAGGGGGGGGGGGGCGGCGGGGGCATGGTCAAACTCAGATGCTGACTTTTTTCTTCTTTTAATATTTTTTGAAATGCTGACTGAGGAAGAATAGCTGAGAGCTTATCAAGGAAGGAACAAGAAACAAAAGCAGCAAAAGGGCAGTTGCGCTGTCCCTCTAGCAAAGAGGTTTGGATTTTAAGCGCCTGCATGTGGATGTGTTTCATGCGGCGATGTAGAAAAAAAAAGCAGATCGATCGCAGTTTTCTGCACATTGCCACCTTCACGTCCAGATTCAGCCGTTAAATCCAATCCTAGTGGGACTGCGCCCCAGGTTGGTTATCACTGTCTTGCTAGTGGGAGCGCACGGGGTATTTCATTTCGTGTTTTGAGCCGTACAAAATACTATGTCGTGAAACGGAAACAATCAAAATAAATACATAATCATAAATGGAAATATCAAATATAGTTATTTTCGGTAGTTGAAGAATAGAAAGTAAATGTCGACGAAGATAATCAATCCACTCTCTCTCCTCCATGTGATGACACAAGAAGAGAGGAGAAGAGCAAGGGGTTAGTGAAAGGGCCTCCTCGCTACACGGCACACGAAACGAAAAAGAACGACTGAATCTCCCTACAGAAACTGGAAAGATTCATCCGGTAACGATGACAGTGACGAATGTATCTTGACACCTGCTCTGGCCAGATGAGCGTGAGGCGGGGGGGGAGAGCGAAGAACAGTCAGGAAAGAGGAGTGCAGACGGAGGATAGGAGAGGGGAGGGGAGAGGTGGTGAGTGAGAAGGAGGAGGAGGAAATCAAACAGTATCGCGGCGAGGGGTATTCCGGTCAGGAATGAAAAAACAGGCAAGGTGGACAATCTGAGAAGAGAGAAGGAGAAAGACAGGAATGAAAAAACAGGCAAGGTGGACAATCTGAGAAGAGAGAAGGAGAAAGACAAGCAATGGCCAATTGCTTTTTACACGCACGTCAAATGATATTGCAACCAAGAAGTAACCAAGCGTGTCACAGCCCGTCGTGTGCGTGTGTTGTCCTCGCTCGTCTCCGTCTCTGCGTACGGTTTACCGGGCAGTTCTGTTTGACGATATATATCCTCCGGGTTCTTTTAGATGTTGTTGGGCAGACAAGAATTCTTGACATCCTGGTTGGTCTTGTCCCGTCGTTTGGCCTGAGGGCAGGGGCGGAGCTTGCATATGGGACTTGTAATCTGGGATCTGTTTTGTTGCCCCCTGTTCTGTATTATGTGTGGCTGTTCCCTTCGTCTTTTCTTTGCCTCTTTGCCTTTTGGCTGTGTGCAAGTGGGTCGATATGACACACGGGGGTGGGGGCAGCCGCCGCTCAACCAACATCCACGTGGGCGGCCGTGTACGCAAGAGGTTCTGAACAGGGGGAGTTATAAGGAATAAGATAAAAAACTGAATTCATTTTTTCCCTGTTTTTCTTTCTTTTTCTCCTTTTTTCCTTTTTTATTTCGCATTTGCGCTCTGATATTCTTGTGACAAAATATATATGTATATCTATATCGTATATGATGCCTCCTGTTGAGTCGGTGAAACTGTGACGAAACAGTCTGTCACAGCCCCTCGTTTGTGATCCTCTTCTCTCCCTGCCTACGGTTTACCGTACGTTTCTCCTTTTNGAGGCACAGTGGAGGAGGCGTTAAGAAGACTGAGAAACTGAATGATTTCAATGTGTCTTTGTTTTTGATTTTTATCCTTTGATTCAGTGTAAATATTTTTTGTAAAACACTGAAAGAAATAATAATACTGTGAAACAAAGTGTCATTCTGGTTTGTCTGTCTCTTTGCCTGTCTGTCCTTTCAATTTTCTTTTCTTTGCTCATCTTATTTCTTCTTCTACTTCACGTGCTCATGCTCTTAGTCAATAGTTCTGTGACAATATATACATACATTTGACAATATATACATACATTTGAATTGATGTCCAGTGTGGCAGAGTTTTCGAATTTGCAGGGGAGGTGGACTGCCTGGAGCCAGGTTACGAAAGAGGTTGGGAGTGCGTGGAAGTATCCGGGCAAGTGAGTGAATTGAAATACGGTGCTGATCGTCTCTCGAGAAACTTACTTCCTCTCCCTACCCTCCACCATGCGCACCCGTCCTCTCCCCTCGGCAACATCACCAAGACATAGACACACACAGAGTCATGCTTTCTTTGTGTGGTTGTGATTAGTGAACGTGACAACACATGCACTTTGCACACTCATACAGGGACAAAAGGAATAGCAGACAGCACACCATGGTGGCTTTTTGCATTTTCCTGGTTTTCTCGACAGACTATTCTTCGTGTAAAGAGAGGCAGGAAACTGAATGAAAAACGTCGGCGAAAGAAGACGGCTAAGTCTCTTGCTTGTCATTGGAATGAGCCTCTCTCTCTCTCTCTCTCTCTCTTTTTTTCCTCAATTTCTCTCTTCCTCTCTTGAACTGTAATCTTGTGCCTTGCAGCCTCTGCGTAATATCACATCTCTCTCTCTCTCTCTCTCTCTCTCTCTCTCTCTCTCTCTCTCTCTCTCTCTTGAAATGTAATCCTGTGGCTTGCAGCCTCTGCGTAATATTAGAACTCTCTCTCTCTCTCTATTTTTTATCTGTAGTAGCAGTATGAATTATTTCCTGGACAACCTCCCTCCCTCCGTTGGACTCGTTAACCGTAGGATTGCTTTAGACGTGTATCTGCCTTCCCAGGAGTCATGTTTACCAGGTGTACTCTTAATTAATAGTATCCTCTCTCTCTCTCTCTCTCTCTCTCTCTCTCTCTCTCTCTCTCTCTCGCGCGCGCGCGCGCGCGCGCGCGCGCGCGCGCCCTTCCCTCTCCACCTTCCCACCCCTTCCCTACTCCCTGATTACCCCCCTTTCATTGTTTGTGTCTTCTTTCCCTCTGCCTGTGTATGTGGGCATCGGCTCGGCTAGTGGCTCTTAAATCTTGTTTCGGCTTTTCCAAGTCAGCTGCCGTTCTCTTCTTTCACTGGTTCTGTCTCACCCCTTCACCCCTTCTCTCTGTGTGCGTGCCTGTTGATTGTTTTTTTTTGTTTTTTTTTGCCTCTTACCCGCCTGTCGGTTGTCTTACTTCCAAGTGACTGATTAACGTGCATGCATGCACAGATGTGTATCAGGGCGTACTTACTCTAGCACTTTCCTAAATGTATCTGACTGCAATTACAGCCAGACGTGGATGCATCTGACCGCAATAACGTCCGGAGCTCAGTCGAAAAGTCCTAGTGTGAGTATGCCCTCATTTATTGCAGTCACTGATCGGTCGTGTTTAGCATTTGGTCAAATTTCATGTGTAGAGGTCAAACTTCATTTGTTGAGGTCAAACTTTGTGTTGAGGTCAAACTTTGTGTTGAGGTCAAACTTCATGCACTGTTTGTTGTCAATCTCGGATCGAAATGTCTGAGGCAGTGATAACCATCAAGAGACCGTCAAGATCTTAACTGTATGATATCCATAAATCCATCTATATGCGCCGCTTATTATGCAGTAATAATAATGATGCATTTGCTTTTTGACAACTGCCTTTACCTCTCCCTCCCCTCCCTCCCCTCCTCCCCCTCGGGGCTCCTTCCGTAGAAAAAGAGGAGGCACGAGTTTCTATTGTCTCTGAGCGATGGTTTGGGGAGAAACGTACCCATGGGCTCAAAAAGTTCGGAGAGGTTTCTATTTGTTCCGCGTCCGTCCGTATCTAGCCAATATAGCAGTATTTGTTCAGAAGGCAGGTTCTGGCTGTGAAGAGTTTAATTCTGTTTCTATTGTTTTAAATACTTTTTGCGCCATTTTGCTTTGACTTTGCAAAGTTGATGTTTTTGAATGCCTGTCCTGCATACAGACAGGTTGGAACTAATTTCATCTTCTTCTTCTTCGTCGTCTTTCTTTCTTTCTTTCTTTCTTTCTTTCTTTTTTTTTTTTTCCCCAAAAGCTGCCTTCTCCTCATTGGGGGACGGCCATGTATTTTTCTCTCACCTCACATATTTTTTAACTGGTGTTCTTTTTTTTTTTTTTTTGCTTTCAACTCTCTCTCCGTTGAGGCTGGCGGAGTGCCTATATTTGGCACTTCCATCTATACCTCTGAGGGGTACTCACATTGGGCTCGTTCTTGAATGCATCTGACCTGATATACGGTGAGAGTCAGTCAGCAAACAGTGCGTATCCAACTATTGTGCATGCTGTGAATCGCCTGGTCCGTAGTGTGGGCAACAGTAGGCAATAGCCAGGTGATCAAATCAAATCAAATCCACGTGCATGGAGTCGTGGTTGGCTCCTCATCGAACAGCTGTTGGTCAGTACAGCCGCATGTTGTATGTTCCCCTGGAAGAAAAAAGAAGAGGAAAAAAAAAGAAAAACAAGCAAGTGGGATACAGGTGATGATGGGGACCACATGTTGATTTTGGTTGGTGCCTTTTTCCTTTTTTTCGAGAATTTCAACAATCACTGGAGTTGTGCGATGCAGTTTACTTGGTGAATCATAAACGCATAGCCCCTCGTTTGTTGTCCTCTTCTCCCTCTCTGCCTACGGTTTACCCGGCAGCTCTGTTTGACGAGGTGTCGTTGATTTTGTGATTGAAAGTTGGGGTTGATCTGTCTGTCATTTCAAAGTTTGAATTTTTGTTGAAGTATATGCCTGCATGTCTTTCCGGGTTGCGTGCAAGTGTGCAACAACTTGCAGGATTTGATCGTTCGGACTTATAGACCCAACCCTCTCACATTCTGGCTCTGCAAGAGGAGGTCCATGCAACATAATATATGTAACCCAACTCGTTCGTTTCGTTGCAGGATTTTACTGTTCAAGGATGTTGGATACTTCCCCTTCTTGCTCTCCCAATCTCTTTCAGGATGGCTTTTCAGCTGGGTTATCGTCCGAGGTAAGCACAGGTTTCCCACACACCGTCCTGGAATCGCCCAAATCTCCGTCCCTCATGGGCAGAAAAAGAAAACGAAAAGAAAAAAGAAAGGCGTTCGTTTCACATTATTATCACCTCCTTTTGCTTTTGACTTTCACATGAATGTTCCTATGTACCTACACATGTCCGTCTGTGCTAACCTGTTTGCCTAACCAGTGGATCTCTGTTTGGCTTTTGCACATTGTGTGTGTGTGTGTGTGTGTGTGTGTGTGTGTGTGTGTGTGTGTGTGTGTGTGTGTGTGAATTGGAATCATTGTTTCATTTGATTAATTTGAATTGTATTTTTTTCTAAACTCATCAAATAAAATTGAAATACTTTGTATAATAATAATAATAATAATAATAATAATAATAATAATAATAGATATAGAATTAGACTATTAGTATATTAATTATTTGATATTGTAAAATAAACTATATAACTCTATAAAAAATATGAATACAAATACTTATGCAATTATTCAAATGGGCGGACAACAGCTTCAACTCCAAACTGGTCGATTTTATGATACTTGTGACTTTTCACTTTTAAAGCCTGATACAAAAATAATCCCTATACTACTACAGGAAACAGCGGTCCTCGTGTGGGGCCCAACAGAAACCGGCAGCCGCCGTGCGGGACCGCTGTCGGGTGGCGGGCAAGGGGGAACCGACGGTGCGCCGGTGCCGGGAAGTGGCCGCGGCGAAGAATGCGAATGTCTCCCGCGAGGCGGGGAAGATACACCGGCAGTCTTTTTTTTTTTCGGGGGGGACCCGCGAGGCCCGTCCTTTCCAGAAGTGTCGACGGGGAAAGGGAATGCGAATATCTCCCGCCAGGCGGGGAAGATACACAGGCACTTTTTTTTTGTTTTCGGCAACGCGTGAGCCGCGTTCTTTCGAGAAGTGTACACCAGCTAAAGTGGATCTGAATCCGTCGCCCGAGACCGGGAAGATACGTTGCCATTTTTTTATTTATTTTTTGAGGACCTGTGCCGTCCGTTTTTTCGAGAACTGTCGACCAGTATCGGGTCGCAGACACACATGTAGCAGCCGATCGTCCGGAAGGATATATCTCTTCTCTATACTAAAGCTTAGGGCGCTGGGGGTGAACGGGGTGAATGGGGGGGGGTGCGGGGAGGTGGGGACCAGGGCAGTCGACGAGGGGAGGGACAACGCAAGGAGCAAAAGAGGGAGCGGCGTGAGAGAGAGAGGGGGGAGAGAGAGAGCTGTCTCTTATACACATCTAGATGTGTATAAGAGACAGTCTATATCGTATATGATGCCTCCTGTCGAGTCGGTGAAACTGTGACGAAACAGTCTGTCACAGCCCCTCGTTTGTGATCCTCTTCTCTCCCTGCCTACGGTTTACCGTACGGAGTTCTGTTTGAGGATTTGTTGCCCTCTTCTTCCTTTCTGCCTAGGTACGGCTTACCGTGGGCAGTTCTGTTTGAGGATACGTCGAATATGTATATGTATCGTCAAATAGAACTGCTCGGTGAAGCGTAGGCAGAGAAGAGGGAGAAGTTTCGTCGGAGTGTTCACCGACTCATCAGGACGCGGAACGCTCTACAGTCTGCAGAGTCCCCTAATGAATCATACTGTAAAGTGATAATCCACGTACAATGTATATATGTTTAGTTGATATAATATATAGATATTATGCATATTTATTAAAAAAAATAAAAAATGTTGATCTGTGGGATGTGTTATTTGATTTGTGACAATTGGATTAACTGTGGGATGTGTCATTTGCTTTGTTTGACTTATAGGCTTTCTCTCCCTGTCAGGTTTGGTATCCTCCTGCGCCTTTTCCTTACCTCTTTTTTGCCTTTTGGCTGCGTGCAAGTGGGTGGGTCCTTGTGACACACGGGGATGGGGGCAGCCAGCACTCAACCTGTCATCCACGTGGCTGGCCTTGTACGTAAGAGGTGATGAACAGGCGGGGCTTTCCTTCCTTCCTTCTTTCCTTTTTTTTGTTTTGTCTTTTTCCGCCTTTGCGCTCCGATTCACAGTGTGACAATATATATCACGAGAGAGTACGACAGGTGGGGGGCAGATGAGGAGAGAGCAGAGGAGGAGGAGGAGGAGGAGGAGGAGGAGGGAAAGAGAGGCACATAAGGGAGAGAGAGGCGGAGGGAGAATGGACCCGAGAGGAGAGAAACAAACGTGCAATGGGCAAGCAGGCTATACCTGACTACAGGACATGATGATGTCTTCCACAGTAGGAAAGAGGAGATGATGATGTTTTCCACTAGAGGAAAGAGGAGATGATGAAGTTTTCCACAAGAGGAAAGAGGAAATGATTTAGTGCCTAATAAGAGATGAGAGGATATGCTGATTAAAGAAACAAGAAAAGCAATGGACGATAACATGCCATTGAACACGAACAGGACAATGATGGCATTCCAAATCCACGTGTTCCGTGTACTCAGGACGTGTAGTGTAGATCCTCGACGCGTTTTGACTCAGCTCTGGACGTGATTGCGGCAAGATACACGCAGTGTCGGTCTTAATTGCAGTCCGATGCATCTCACAAAGGGTGAACTGGAAAAGGGACAAAAAGGCAAATGAGCAACAAAAGGAACAAAAGGAACAACAAAAGGGACAAAACGGCAAAAGGGCAGAAGGGACAAAAGAGCAAGAAAAGGAACAAAATGGCAAAAGGGCAAAAAGGCGACAAAAGGAAGAAAAGGGCACAAGGCGACAAAAGGAAGAAAAGGGCATGGCATTCTCCTTATTTCGTTGTGTTCTTGGTGACTCAAACAATGCCAGGAGATCGTCAACGAGTCGACCACAAGAATCGATTCAAATAATGCCAGGACATCATCAACGTTGTATTCTTGGTGGCTCGAACGCGCGACCTCTTGGCTAATCAAAGAATGGCTTCGTTGTCTTCTTCTTGTTGGCTTCTTGTGGGCTTCTTGTTGTTGTGGTTGTTGGTTGGAATGGATGGAAACAGTCAATCGTTTGCCTGCTGAGCTTTGTTGCGGAGACAGTATGATGAAGGTTTCCAGAACAGGAAAGAAGAAAATCCATGATGAACGGAGAGAGGAAATGATGATGTTCTCCACAAGTGGAAAGAAGAGATGATGATGTTTTCCACAACAGGAAAGAAGATCATCCTGTTTTCCACAAGAAGACAGAGGAGATGAAGACGTTTTCTGCGTGCGGAGAGAGGAGAAACATAATTTCCACGAGAGGAAAGAGGAGATGACGATGTTTTCCACGACAGGAAAGAGGAGATGATGATGCTTTCCACAACAGGAAAGAAGAGGAGATGATGATGTTTTCCACAAGCGGCGAGAGGAGATAATCATGTTTCCAGAAGAGGGAAGAGGGGATGATGAGGTTTTGCACAAGCGGAGAGAGGAGATGATTTGATGCCTAGTGAGGTAATGAGGAGGGCAAACCTCGTTCGCGGAGGAGAGATGAACACATCCCGGGGGATATATGGTTTAGTAGAGCACTTCTCTTTTTGTTGGCATCATCTCCTGTTTAGGAAAGAACCCCTTCAGTCTCGTGGTTTTCAAACCACAAAAAGGAGATGACGTCAACGAGAAGACTAAACCTCAGACCGATGGTGTTTCCCTTTTTGTTTTTTTATTTTTATTTTTGTTTTTCTTTTTTTCTTTCCTTCGGGTGTTTCAATGTGGTTCGTTTTTTTTTTTTCTTTTCTTTTCTTTTAAAAAGTGGTTCGGATCTGCGGTTCTGGCCGAGGTCCTTTCTTTTTTTTTTTTTTTTTTTTTTTTTAATAATAAGGCTAATTCCTTAAGCCCAACCAGTTCAATTACCTGTCGAATCCGGACAGGACAGCCTAAATTACGGGGACCCCCCCCTAGCAGCCACATCCGTGCTCAAGCCTCCAAACGAGGGAACATGCGGGAGCTGCACCCACCAGCAGGTGCAATAGCAGGTGGGCGATACCGGCCAGGGGGCAGCCGGTAGCATCAGGACCGAGCTTCTTCGATGAGCCAGTCACCGTGCCTCCCTTCCGGTCCCCTCCCCCTAGGAGCATCAGCAGTCTTGGTTTCTTTCCTTCTTTCTTTCTTTCTTTCTTTGGTTTCTTTTCTTTTTTTGGTTATACTGGCGAGTGATCGAAAAGGAAGTTTGGCTAGGATGGTGGTCTATAAGCGACCCCAAATCCCCAAGATCCCGTTCCTATTCTTGGGGGACGTGAGGGACGTATAGATTCCCTACTCTACCTACCTACCTACCCTACCTACCCTACCTACCCTACCACCCTACCTACCCTACCTACCCTACCTACCCTACCTACCCTACCTACCCTACCCATCCTGCCTACACCACCTACTATGGGTCCTCTGACTTCCAATAGGTACATCAAACCATTTGGATCTCACCGGTGTCACCGATAGGCTTTAACTTTTTTTTTTTTTTTTTTTTTAATAACTTTTTTCTCCTTTTTTTTTTGCTTTAACGTTGTAAGTTGATGAGGAAGGGTGTAATTGCAAAGTGTAAGGGGTAAAAAAACCGTCCTTCCCTTCGTCTCACCTCCCTCACGGGCCCCAAGAGCGAACTCCGCCTGATAGCTGTGCATGGGAGTGTGTGTGGTCGGGGATTGGGGATCGAGTCCAACCGAAGCGAACACCCTAACGACTCCACAACCCATACCACAACTTTATCCACAGTGATTCCACACCACACTCATTTCACTTTTGGCCCTTCCCTTCCCTTACCTCTCCATCACTCTTTTTTCCGTTCGTCTATCCGTCCCGTGCTCCCTCCCTGTCAGCTTTCTCCCCGGCCCCCCCCTCTCTCTCGCTCCCTCCCTCCCTCCCTCTCTCCTCCCCCTCTCTCTCGCTCCC